AGTTACCACTCTCCACCGCTACCTCCATCCCTCCACCCACTGTGCATTACAAGGCTCACATCTCAACTAGCCCCCAGCAAGTTCGTTGCCTCCGTTTCGGTTAACCCCCTTGTCTGATCTCTACGACGAGACGGTCGGTTTTCCTGCGTGTGCCTCCCTTGCCGTTGTTCCGTGTGAAAATTATGTTAGGGATCCACAACCCCCTTTACCATGCATCCTATAGGTTACGAATTCGTTGTCGATTTTGCCTGGTTCCAAGAGCTGACAATAGAATATATTTTTCCATGAAACTGTTAACCTCTTGGTTTGTGGTAACTTGTCAGGCTCACGGTGAAGATTTTAAATAAAATTTAAGTAACATACGTATTACTGAATTTTTTTGAATTCAAATTAAGCATTGTTTTTCGTTTGCTAATTGTTATACTTTAGAGCAAGTGTAGTTGTAGAACATACCTAGAAATTTTCTCTTCTTTCAGGAAATTATGAAAGTAGTTGTGGCAATCATGGTTGAGATATAAATCGAGCAAAGGGTCAAAGAAGTTTTTGTATAGAGTGATTGTTTTTAATTTAGAGTAATTTAGTATAATTATTTCTGTTGCTGTGAATTCTTTAGTTGATATTTCAATTCCTACGTTTCAAACCTGTGTATTATAAAATAAATCAGAGAGGGAGACAAATTAAATTTTATCGCTGTAACTGCGAATGTGAACGTTGAAACGAAGAGAAACGATAATATTCACACAAAATAATCGTTATCCGTTCAAAGTTGAGAAATACCGATTCTGCTAGAATAAGAAATAAATTACTTTTCTTATGAACTAGTAGTGGTGCCATAAGATGCTGTCACTTTGAGCCGAGAAAATGAAATAAAATTGAAAAATGGTAAATAGGATTGTACGACTCGAAAATTACATGACGTGATACATAGATGATTACATTTTTGTCCTCTCATATTCTCGGAAAATATTTTCCAGCAAAAATCGATTCTTTACAAATATCTGATTGGTCGCAGGTGAGTCAGAGATAATTTTATAAAGCTTCCCTTTGTATTTTTTTGAACGATCGAGTCGTTCGTAAAAAGAGTATTTACTGAAAAAATTTGCGTGATTTAAAATTATCAGCGAACTTTGGACACCTCCGCGGTATTCGCAGATTTTATAAATTATCTCGAAAACTTAACTGCTGCCATCTGCTAGAGAGTTATATTATTTCATTGTCGTGATATTTCTACTTTTGGTAGGCAAATCAATAGTCCCCTGCATAAATTCTTTTAATAATACGTAATTGAAAAATTTCGTGTTATTATTAGAAGAAATATATAGAAAAGAAGACATAAATTTTCTTAACAGATGCGTAATAATTATATTAGCCGTGGAAAAGTAAATGAAAAAGAACCAAGTTTATAATTAAAAGAACATTAGATTGAAATTGTCATCAATTTAACAGATTTCAGATTCTACGAATTTTATTTTAGCGATTTAAGTTAAGCCTGATTGACGTAATAATACGAATACACGCTCTCATTCGTTTCTCTCTCAACTTTCTAATTGCGGACATTTGCGTAGAATGTCTTAAATAAAACAATAAAGTTTACAATTCAATTCAGTACATTCTTATTACTGATCAGATACTTGTGTCGTGCTATTAAAGACTACAAATGAACGATTAATCTCAAAGTATTTCCGTTTCTAATTTCTCCATTACTGTTTGAATGTAAATCCATTCGGTAACACGGGTAATTAATACGATAGTTACATATTGCATTACTTGATAGAAGGTCAAAGAGATTAATTAGGTTAGATTGATAGATAATTATTTTCTATGTCGTTTATCGTATAACAGAAGTTTAGGGAGTCGTAAAATCACACGTCTATCAGTTATAGTGATTTTATGAGAATTAAAGTTAATTTGTACTGAAAACTGCTTTCAATTCGTTTGCTTTAAAAATATTGTACAATCAGCGCAACTATGTAGGTCAGTTAGCAGGCTATTAAGCCGAATGTAATTTCAGTTACAAATTAATTATAAAATTCTGTTCACAACGGAACGTAAAATAGACTTTAGGAACCTTTTATGAAAGGAACTGTTTTAAAAATTCATATTTTTATCTCTAATCGGACTACAATTTCAACATATTTTTCTTTGTACGCAGTTAGAACTGTGCATTGTTAAATTTCATAATTTAACTATTATAAAACTTATATTCTTACCATTTCTTCAACTTTTACCTTTATTAAATGTAGCCCAGGAGCCGAAGTATCATTTTTTAAACATATTTCATTTGACGCAAATAATTAATATATACACACTTGCGACTTTAAAACGTTATATTTTATAATTCAAACAGACATTAAATAAAAATAAAAATTACAATTCAACTATAATTTCAACTGTAATGAACTGTAATTTAATTTCCTTCGTTAAAAACGAAAAGTTCTAAATGTTTCATGCTTTTGAGGTCGTTCCACTAGAATATCCTCTTTATTCCACCTGCAGTAAATTGTCGTGAACCCTTCAATATTCAATGGCGGACCGTATCTAACTCTGTGCTTCTCTTTCTGTTACAGGTATGTAGAGAGTAGCTGGCACACGGGAGGGCAAGTAACTCTCCGAGTGGAAGCTTGGAGAACACGCCTAAAATCAGTAACAGATTTCTGCCATTTCCAGCCTAGAGACACTAAAACGAAACGACCCAAGTTCCTGCGTAAAGTTCTGCCTTTGTCAGGGCATGGGTTTGGTCTTGTGCCTTTTCAGAACTGGCCTATTTACGGGCCGACACAGTTTCGAGAATCGATGAATCGAAGGCGCGCAGCCTTATCGAGCCGGTGAGAGACGTACGCGCGCATAAACGTATCTCCCTCCGCGTGTGGAAACAGGAGGCCGAGACAGGTGACGAGAGAACAGTTTATCAGGGATGATTGCGATTATCATTCAAAGCAAATCGTCTTTTCCCACTGCTTTCGAGGATTTCTACAATTCTCTAGTCGCTCACATTTTTCTTTTGTTTCTTCATTTTGATCGTTGAGTGACGAACAGTTTTCATTCGTAGTGTTTCATTTGTTACGAGAAATTTAGATGGTTTCTTTTCGGATTTCTAAAAAATATCTATTAATTGGATAATTGTTCTTTTTTAAATTGTGATTTAGTTTTTGGTTTTTGATCAATGCAAAGTTTCAGTTTGTTAACGTTTCATTTTTTAGAGGGAATTTGGGCGAGCTTTTTTTTTAAGGATTTTGAAGTGGAAATGTAAGTGATATTTCTTTGGGTAAATTATTGATTAATTGTTGGTTAATTTGAAAATAAGTTTGTGATTGGTTTCTAATAGTTGTAACTAAATGTAGTAGAGTTCTATTTGAAATGGAAATGAACATAACGGATATTAACTATTATACTTACTATAGTTACTGAGAAAATTAAGAAGTATACTATTATGAAAATATGAGCATTAGAAGTATTGTCATATTTAACAAGCTTGTGAAATAATATTAAGAGAATAACGAAATTAATTGAAATTTAATAATCAAGTTTGTGTAGTACTTACTAATAAATTTAAAGTTCACATGAAAAGGAAATTAATATGTAATAATAAAATTTAATAGGAAATTTAAGATGAAAGTATGCGACGATACCACATTAGCTTCGTTCGTTTATTTTTAGACAACTGCAATATTCATAAATTTAAGTGATAAAGTCGTAGCATACGCAGATTGCACGTAACTGGCAGTATATATAAAATTACGTAGAACTGCGTTAACGTCTGCAATAAGTTGATTATAATTTAATGTAATTAATTACATTGGACAGAAGAATATTAAGAGGTACTCTATAATTTGCTTCTATAACCTTTAGACTGGTTAAAGTAATTGATATAGAACAATTTAATTTATGCATATGATGATTAAGAAGAATTCAAGGGATTTCGAAATACAGTAATTGGCAACTACGAGATTTGAATTTAAAAAATTTCAAATAATTTTGCATTTAATTATGCATTTAATTTGATATTTTCACGCTGTTTATTTTATTCTATTCTATATTTTATATTCTATAAAAATGTTTTCTTTTCTCTATATTTGCCGTAAAAAAGTACAATTACTAATTTATATTTATTTAATATTATTGCTTTAGATCTTTTTCGTTTGCATTGCTTCTCCTCTTCTTAATGAGGATTTTATCATAGAAGAGTAATAATTACCTAACGAGAATACAAAGTGTTATGGCCCTTGCAGTACTGTAAAATAATTTCATCCCGGGAAATCGGATAATCCGTAAAATCGCCCAAGGTCTCCAAATTAAAAAATAATAAAACGATAGACATCAATATTAAGAAAATATAAGATAAATCAAAGTTACAATAAATACCGCAAAAAACAGATGTTTGGAGAAAATGAAACAATTTAATACTATAACAAAATTTACGAAAAAGTAGATGTTTAAAAAAGGTAAAATAAAATAAAGGTTTAACACTAGGTTTACGGGTATTTATTGTACAGTTTATTCTATTGTTCCTGGGGAAGTTGATATTCGTTCATTTAGATTTTGGAAATTGTAGATGTAGAAATAGACAATCAGGATTCATATTCGTGTAATTAGATCCACGAAAACCGATTAAAACATTTACCAAATAATGTTTATAAAATTCAATCTGCGTCAAATTGACGCGTTCCGTAAACCTAGTGTTAAACACAATTTAAATGAAAACTTGCAGGCAAAATATCATTCTTTTCTCTTCTAACGAATAACAACCGATAAAATAATTCTAACGAGTGCAGTTATGAGATTTACCACAAGATTTTTTAGTAAATTCACCGAAAAATCTCCACAAATATGAATCTACACCAAAGGCTTAATACCCTCTCGCAACTTCTCGAGAACCACCAAAATTTTCCCCACACCCGATAATTCCATCAATCAACAAACGAAACCAGCACATCAGAAATCACCAAATTTCCCAATTCTACCATGTATTTCAATAAAATTCAACATTCGGTTCATCTACACATAGATCTTCCCACATAAAGCATCAGAAACCCTAACGCCAGACAGTGCGGTCATATGGCCGTTTTTTGGACAAAACTCAATAACTTAGATAGTATGAATGATACAAACAAATGCTTCAGACAAAAGTTGTAAGGTATAGAACTAAGCATATGGTGGTTATATTATGAATTTTTTAAAATGACTATGGACATTTTACGTTTCGATGCCAACGTTATATAAATAGAGAAACGGAATTTATTTCCACAAAATTTTTATTTTTGAAATAAAACTCACATTGTAAAGCAGTGATTATTTAGCAACGCATTGATAACCTTCAATTTTCGTTATACGAATAGTCAAATTTTGAGATTTTGTGCGCAGGCGGCCGCACTGTGCGCCAGTTGAAAACAGGCTCACGAAGCCCACCGAAAAACCCGCCGACCAGTCATGTCCCGCGAAATATCAAAGTTGACAATGTTCGGGGAGTGGCGCGACGGTGTCGCGTTAAGGAGCAACAGCAGCAGCAGCAACGGCGTTAATAGCGAGCGAGCGAGCTAGCGCGCGGTGTTCCGCGGCGATTCGGCGCAGCTCTCCGGCTCAGTTCGATTCGGTTCATTTCAGTCAGCTGGCTGACAGGGCGTTGCCCCTCGCGCGATGCACCATTCATTACGAAGTGCTGCAACCAGGGAGCAGCCGACCTAGCGCGACCAGACCCGGCTGCACACTCCCCCTGCCTGCCTCCCCCTCGATTCCTCCCGTCCCGTTCGTTGTACACCAATCCCCCACCAGTGGGTCTACTCACGATTCTGCTTCGACTGCAACTGTGGCTTGCAACCGACCACCTACTATTACTCCT